CAACAACAACAACAACAACAACCATTGTTGGCAAGAGGAGGCTCGCTGATGGCAACCAACCATGATCAAACATGGACGTGCTGAGAATGCTTGCTTAGCAAATAGGTTGCATGACTCTACAACCGCCGCGCACTCGATACCCTCCTCAACCTGCTCCTTGGTCAGCCAACCTAAGCCCATCACTCAAAGTCACGGTCAGGAATTCGTTCTCTTCATTAAACGTGTGGTAAATAAATGTAAAAGTGCATGTGCGCCCTCGGTGCGGCCCACACCATGCTTCAGTCACGCTTATTCGGCTGATTCGCAACCACGGCTCGTTCCGAAGGTGCCTGAATAAACTCCCATAGTGTAGGCTCGTAGCTTGGTAAACCCGGGTTATGCCTTGCAGCAGTGGCTTGCTTTCATCGTCGGGTTTGTTACTTGCTCTCTCCTCGTGGATCTCGCGATGGCTCGTTTATCCTCTCATGGGATGAAAATGGTTTGGCATCAGCACTCCGATTAGGTATCTGCTTCCGGCTTGGCAGACAAGGACCACATTTCACAGTTTTCATTTCAGAAGTCTGCTCTGCGTGACTCGAGGACTCTCTGCAATTTCTCTGCGATCTTGCCGAATGTGGTACGACGGAGGCCACTGAGGCCTGTCGTCCTGCTAGCACTCCTTCTGTGGTCCCATGTCGAGCTTGCGATTCTGCTATCCACCAAATCCTCCAGGGTGTTGGGCACGTAGCGGAATCAGGCGGTGCTGGCAACCAGTGCAGTGCTGCTTTGGGTATCACTCGTTTCAGGCTTCTGGCTTGCGAGCCTGGTCATCGCTGCCAGCACTGTCACTCGTCTTGAGGTTTGAAGTCAGTCTTTGCTTGCACAACCTTCATCCTCAAGAACCAGGGTCTGCCAGCTTACGAAGTCTCGTTGATATGACTGTTTGCAGGATGTGGGGGACTTTCACGGTACTAGCAAAAACGCTGCATTTTGAACTGCATCAACTGAACGTAAAAGACCTGAATCCACCTAACCCAAATCCTGCTCCCAACATAACAACTCGCAAAGTTGTCTGCGCACAGAGCACCGGCAGCCGAGGCAAAGGCAGAAGCAAAGCCGCATGTAGTCCTGGAAGTTGTCCTGATGTTCAGGTATGAGAGTCAGCTTGAGATTTAGGGTTCAGGATCCGACCAGTTGCGTTTGATCAGAGAATGCATACATATCTGCCGAGAAAGCTTGACGAGGCTATCGTTATAAAGTATGACAAGCATCTTCCATGGTTTTTGTGAACACCACAACATACAGAAATGTCATGCCGTCGACGATGTGGTAGTGAATGGTGATGATGATACTGGTGATGATGATGATGAGAAACGATGATGATGCTGATGATGGTGATAAGGACGAGGAGGAGGGCGGAGGAGGAGGAGGACGACGACGACGGTGACGATGACAATGACAAGGAGGATGGCGATGCTGCAATTGCTGCTGCTGCCGGTCCGGCTGCTACTGGTGGTGGTGGTGCTGCTGCTGCCGCTGCCGCTCCGGCTGGTGGTGCTGGTGGTGCTGCTGCTGCTGCTCCTGCTGCTGCTGCTGCTGCTGCTGCTGGTCCTGCTGGTGCTGCTGGTGCTGCTGGCGGTGGCGGTGGTGGGCGGTGGGGTGGACGGCAATGGGCGGCGCTGATGATGGATGATGATGACGATGACGATGACGATAACGATAACGATGACGATGACGATGATCATGATGGTGATGATGACGATGATGACGATGATGACGATGATGATGATGATGACGACGATGATGATGATGGTGATGACGATGACGATGACGATGACGAAAACGATGTATATAACGATAACGATGACGATGATGATGATGACGATGATGACGATGATGATGATGATGATGACGATGATGATGATGGTGTTGGCGATGGTGATGGAGATGGTGATGATGATGACGGTGATGATGATGATGGTGGTGACGGTGATGGTGATGATGGTGATGATGGTGATGATGATGATGATGATGATGATGGCGGTGGTGATGATGATGATGATGGCGGTGGTGATGATGATGACGATGATGATGATGATGGTGGCGGTGACG